TATAAGTAAGTAAGTAAATAAATAAATAAAATGGAAAGAAACAGGGTAGTCAGGATGCGACACTGGATTGCTGGAAGAGAGGTGTCAACTCACTGAGATGAAAAAACTGGAAGTATGTCCGAACGGAAACATCCAGTAGTAGGCAGATGGACATGCTAGCCTTGAGTTCAGGAAATGTTTGGGCTGGAGGGACAGACTTGGAAGACATCATAGAAAATAATAGTTAAAACCAATATCAAAGGTTTATGCCCTGCAGGAGTTCAGATAGGGAAGGAGGGACCCTCAGAAATTACTACCCTGCGGGTACCAGGGAAAGCAAGAGGGATCAGAGAAGCCAAGAGGAGAATTGGGATTTGTAGAATCATGGAATTAAAAGAATAGCATCAAGTCCTGCAGATAAAGACTAAGAAAAGGACTCTGTGGCAGAGACAGGCACGAGTGACCTTCAACAGGACAGCTCACAGACGAGGGCATTCTTGGTAGTCTCTGCAGCCTACTGTAATGTGAGGCTGGTGGAAAAAGCTTGATAAATATTGGCTACCTGAAGCAGCTGCCATACCTTGGGCTCAACGCATTTAGCAAAGCAGTCAGAGTCCATTGCCAGGGTCCACCTCCTGTAGAGCTTCTTAGCCTAGCCCGGAAGGGAAATTGGTTGCTCTGATTTGAAGTGGTTGTTGGAGGAGTTCACCCCAAAAAGAGTTGTTTCTTTAATCCTGTTCTCTTGGACATTGAGGATTCATTTAACTCCTTGCCTGCCTTCAGACCATATAAGTGAGATAGAAATTATCCCCCTTTTTAGCAGTTCCAGAGGTAATTTCCCAACGAATTTGGTAGTCTGTTCTACAGTCTCTGAAAACCCTTGCCAAGGTCAACTAGAAAATAGGCCTTTGTGGCCCAAAGTTCTAAAAAGCTCACTTGACAAATTGAGTAATGAGTAACTGATAGGAAAAATAAAGTCAGAGATTGCCCTGCTTCTGGAAAGATGGAGCATGGGGTCATTGGAGGCTGAGGGAATGGATTGTAAAGGGGATGCAGAGGCCAGCATCCTGGAGAGTGTGCTCTAGGGCTCTAACTCAGGGATCTGAGGGGCTCTCTCATGCTCAAGAATATCACAAGCATGAAGTACAAAGGAGTATTTGTGCTGTGCCCTGAGAATAAACTCAAATGAAGTTATTCACAAGGAATGATTGTCATCCAGGTCCTGTCATTGAAGTTTTTCCATTTCTTGGTGCCTAGAACTTATAACCCTTGAGAGGAGATTTCGTGCTCAAAGACAAAGGGCATCACTTTCACATCCAGGAGGGATGCTGGGAGGAAAGACGGTGGGAAGACAAAGAATGCAGAAAGAATGCAGAAAGAAAGTAGAAAGAAAGAAAAAATGCAGAAAGAAGTAGATTAAAAAAATATGCTCATTGTAGGTAAGGAGACAGAGCTTATAGTTAAGTTATGGAAAATAGTATTTTACCAGATTAAAAAAATAAATTTAGTCATTCAAACATTTATTGAGTGGCTCCTAGGTGCCAGACACTAGGCTGGACAACAGGGCATGATGACACATCCCCTTGAGGAGTGTACAGCCTATTGAGGGAGACAAGTGTGAGCAAACAACTGCGAAATGGCAGGAAAGGTGCTCACAGAGGCAGGTACAGGATGCTAATAGAGGCAGGGGAGACTTACTTCACCAGGAGAGAAAGAAACTTAAAAGAGCAGGACAGAGACATTGTTGTACTTCCGAAGACTTTGGTTTGAGCTACATGTAGCGGCCCACTGGCATTTGCAGACTGAATGTTCATGGATGAAAATAGTCTCCATTGAGTGATCTGAAAGGTCCCTGTAGTGAGGTAATTTGCTGAGACACAAATCTGAATGGCCTGCTAGGAGGCCAGAGTGTACTTGCCAGCCACTTAGTTAGTGAATGAATCACACCCAACACCTGGCATTTGTGCCCCAGCACAGCTTAGCTCTTCTCATTGACATCTATGTAGTAATTCTCATACTTCGATTGACTTTTTTTTTCTTTGCAGCGTCAGAAGAATATGGAGTAAATAAGGTACAGACGTAATGAAGTAAAGAGTTTATTTTAATGGCAAAATGTATTTAAGTAGCTTTTGAAATTACCTTGGCACCATATTTATAGAACCATTATGAGTCTAAAGATGATCCCTTATATTTTTCAGTTACACTTTACTGCTTTTTATAGTGAAAATTATATGTCACGGTGACACTCATGATTCTGGATACTCATGAAGGTCACGGATGAACCCTTTGAGAATGTCAAGGGTCCACGTCTGTGAATGATGAGTTATATTTTATTGGCACTCTACTGGACATAACATGGTCTCATTTTAAGTTTGAAAAGTAAGATATATTCTCCTTTATATGATTTTCCTATAATTTGGAGAAGGCTACTATTGCCCTTCCTTATTTATGCAGGCGTACCATGTATTACCAGAAGACAAAGGATAACATTTATCCACAAAATTGCAGCCTGACAAGCAACTCAAATCGACAAAGATAACTAAATTCCCCCAGTTAAATGCTTTTCTCTTGGTCTATTTCTTGGAACTTAATAACCACTGAAACTCAAACTCTGGCTCCCTCCCCAAAATACACTCCATGTACCTCAAACTTAACATGACAACACACAACCTCAATCTGCTTCCACTTCTGTCACCTTGTTTTGGCTATTAGGATCACATGTATTTAACTGAAGCTGGAAAACTCAGAGTTGACCAGACTCTTCCCCCAGCATCTCCTCAGTTACCGAGTAAATCAGTTTTACCTCTTAAATGACTCTCAAAAGCAGTCAGGCCTCTCCAGTCCCATGGTACTGCTCTAGCTCAGGGCCAAATCATCTGTCATCACAATATCCTGACACAGTGCCTCTAACCTGTCCTTCCTCTATCCTCCAAATCGATAGAGAGTAACTTTTCTTAAAATGCAAATCTTGCATTCATTAGTTTCCAATGAAGATCAAAATATGGTCCCATCAATAGCTGGTTCCTGGCCAGTGAGTCTGATGCCAATGGTCTACACATAACACTGAGAACTGCATTGACTGTGAGCTGTTTATGTCCCTAAACATGCTGTGTTCTTTCATACTTCTGTGCATTTTTGCATTTGCCCAACTCTCGTCCTGCACGGCCCTTTCACTCTTCTACTCTTAGTGAGCCTCTTATCGGACCTTCCAGATCCAGCTCAGATGCCACTACTTCAAGAGAGCCACATGGAAATCTCTCCGTGGCTCTCCTATCTGGGTTCCTGTGCCCCTGAATACACACTATTAAAGCATGTGTCATAGTTTACAGCGACAAACTGTTCACAAGGTTATCTTCTCCTGTGATCCACAAGCTCTTGTCTTTGAATCCTAGTACTCAGCACAATCCTTGACTGCTTGGCTCCTGCCAGGCGGTCATTGTTTGCTGAATGAAAGGATCAGTGATTGAGATCGGTGGCTAAAATGGTAAAATGAGATAAGCATGTTATCAAAGGGCAAAACTGCTTTTTTGTTAACTCTAAAATGAATCAAGTTACCAGGAAAGTTAAAATAAGGATGAAGAGTGCTTTTAGATTTCAACTGACTTTTAAATTACTCATCACATCTGTCCTAGCTAAAGACTAACTCTAGCCAGCCTCCTGTGCAGCCTGTTAAGTCAGAATATTTCACACTTGGACACCAGATCCAGCAAATGCTCAATGATCATGGAAGAAATACTTAAAGAGAAGCTATTGGCTTTGAAAATACAAATGTTAAAAAAAAACTGCCCAATAAGACCATTTGCTAATTTTTTTTCTGTTTGGCATTTTAGAAGACAATATTAGACACAGGGCATCATACTGTACACGATGTCCAGTATCTGTGGTGGCAGTTTCTACAGGACAATTACAGTGAGGCTTTTTCTGTTCACTCATTCATTCATTCACAGACAACTGTTGCACAGCTACTATGTGCTAGTCACCATGCCGTGCCCTGGACAAGCGAAGAAAAGAATAGGTCCTAAGATTCCAGGCTTTCTGTCGGCCAGATGGATTACTACAAACGGGTACCCTGGACATGTATCATTAAGCAGTTACTATTTAAATCCAGCCCGGTTCCAAAAATGTTCTCAAGTTCTCCTTGTACTTAACAGGTCACAGGTTACCTTGGGTAACCTCAAGAAGGCTGCTATGCATTCTAATCCAGCTAGTCGGTTCTGCAAGGCACAACCTGTCTCAGGATGCGGCTACATTCAAAAGGCAGTGTTTAGGGTAAGTCCCTTCCTGCTCTAATTCCCCAATGTGCGGGGGTTTGTTGAAAGAGCGTTTTCTAAGAAGGAAAAGATTTGGATGAAGGCAGGCGATGAGTAAAACTGAGCTCGAGCTTCAATCAAAACTCTTGGGAGTTTTGGTGACTTGGTGTTAGGGCACGGAAGGATGCTTTGGGTACCTTCCCCATATACAGTGGTGGAAAGAAAAGCTTCCAGAGCAAAGCCAGTCAGGGAAAGACGGAAATCCACTGCATGTAGCAACATACTGGAGCCCAGACCTCAGCCAAACTCTAATTTAACAAACTACATTATAAATAACGGGCCAATCTCAGATATAGCTGCTCCCCTAACCCTCAGGCTGCCCCAAAGACTCACTGCCGGGCTCCTTCCTCGACCCTGGACAGCGCCGCTCCCTTCTCGGCCCCACCCACCCAACCCAGGAGGGGTCCCCACAGCCCCACGCCCACCCCCGGAACACCACCCACCGCGGCCCCGCCTCTCCTGGGCCCCACGTGTCGGGCCCCACCCCGGCGCTGGCTGCCCTTTAAACACCCCCACCCTTACACAGTACCCCCCCACTCCACGGCAGCCGGACGGCAGCCGGAGAGGGACAAAACTGATGGCGTACAGCCAGTTTCCTCCGCGGATCTCGTCTGGGGTTGCCCAGCCCGTGGGGCCCTCCACCCTGGGCCACAGTCCCCTGGCGCCCCCCCCGAGCCCGCGGCGGCCGGGCAGAGGAGTGTCGCCGCGGCCCAGCTGCGGGGCGGGGCCGGCGGGAGCGCAGGTCTCCGCTGCCGCCACTGCTGCCTCCGCCTGCCGCTCGGGCCGCCCGCTCGCCAGCCTCTGGGTGCGCTGCACGCGGGGGGCAGCCGCGGTGCAGAGGTTCATGCGGCGGCGGCGGCGGCGGCGGCGGCGGCGGCGGCGGCTGCTGCTGCTGCTACCGCGGAGGCAGACAGACCCGGCGCTGCCGCCGCCGCCGCCCTCCCCCGGCTACATGCCGCCGCCGCTGCCGCCTCCTCCTCTCCGGCGAGGGGCGGGGGGCTCCGGACCGGGGTGGGCACCACTCCTCGCAGTGCCGCTCCCCTCCCTGCCCTCCGCGCTGGCCCTGGAGCCGGCGGGGGCGCCCGCCGCCTCCTAGGAGCGCACGCTCCGCGCGCCCTGCCGCGCCCTGGAGAGAGGGGGCGGGCGTGGGCAGGGGCGGGCGGGCGTCGGGGCAGCGGAGACCCGGCAGGGCGGCGAGAGGAGGGGGCTGCCTCGGAGAATGCCCGGCGCCGGCTCACCGCTCCTAGGCACGGGCTGAGCCGGACCCGGAGCGGGCGGCGCGTCGCCATGCCGGTGTGACGGGCGCCCCCGGCTGCCCGCGCGGTCCTCCGCGCTGCCCCACGCCGCGCCGCGCCGGCGCCGGGCGGCAGGATGGGCTGTATCCAAAGCATTACCTGCAAGGCGCGGATCCGGCGCGAGAACATTGTGGTGTACGATGTGTGCGCCACCATCGACCAGTGCCCCACGCGCATCGAGGAGACCTCGCCCATCGTCCTGCGCTACAAGACCCCCTACTTCAAAGCTTCGGCCCGCGTGGTCATGCCCCCCATCCCCCGCCACGAGACCTGGGTGGTGGGCTGGATCCAGGCGTGCAACCAGATGGAGTTCTTCAACACCTACAGCGACCTGGGCATGTAAGCGACCGGCCGCGCAGAGTCGGAGCGGGGTCCCTGGCCCCGGTCTCTTCTGATCCCGACCCTCCTCCCCAGCTCCTTCTTACTGCTCTCCCCATCCTCTTTCTAAACCTTCCTCCCGCCTCCTCTTCCATCTCCCTCCTCCCTACGCTTTTGTTTCAGTGACAGGGCGGGTGTGTGTAGGGAGGCTCCTCGCGAAGGCATTTTCTCGTGGTTTGCTTCTGACTCCCCATGAACGCGAGAACGGTGCGATCAGGAGGGTTCGAGAGACGGAGGTGGGGGTGGCTGGCTAGTGCCCTGGGAGTTTCGGGGCGCCGCCTGTGCTTTGTGGGGATTCCCGGGAAGAGTTTGGGGGGATCTGTAGAGCGGAGTGGAGTGGAGTGCCGGGGGCGCGTGGGCTGTGCCGCGCGCCCTTTGGAGAAACCCGAGCGGGCTTGGAGGAGAAGGTCCCGGGTGTCCCAGCTGGACTTGGTGGTTCTGCCCTTGTTCCCTCGACTGTTGACTTCGAGCCCTTGTCCCCCGGGCCGGGAAGCCTGGAGGCATTTGCATCCGGAACCGCAAACCCTGGAGAGCCGCTTTTCTGGCTCGGCTCCCTCTGGACGAGTACTGGGGTGGTGGGAACTGGAAGGCACCGGGCGCGTCCCGGTGGAGCAGGGCTGATGGCCTTGTGCGAGCAGCCTCTGGCTGGCGTGGTGCGGTGTGTGTCTTATGCTCAAGGAAAGTATGGGTCTCTTGTCGGTCTAAAGTCTTTATTTACTCCAAAACTTTACTGATTGCGACGCTGGAAGTGGTTCCCCAGCGCCCACCGCCGAATTCTGTTGGCGATCTGGGAGCTCTCCAACTTCTTTCAGCAGCACCGCTCGGTGCGCGCCGGGTTCGGCGGCTGCGGTGGAGACCCGAGATCGCGGCGACTCCTCTGCCGCCAGGGGCCGACAGCCTGCCCCGGAACCGCAGGCTGCTGACAGTCGCGTCCAGGACTTTTTTATTTACTAAATTTGCATGACTTTCTGCCAGCCTCCTTTCAGAAGTAGACTATGGGCAGTTGGCAACTACAATGGCTAAAAGGTTTGGGGCCTGCGTTCTACCTGCTGTTACAATGTAGGTCTAGAGCACCCTAATTAGCTTGCAGCCTGTAGGGAAACCCTGTTCTGGAAAGGCAGCCTCATTTCATTATCAATCTAAAACTCTAGAGTTTCCAAGGTTCATCTTTTGAATATGGATATAAGGTGGGAGAGTTTCCATTTTAAAAGGTCAAACTATCTCTTTAACAGCAGTTTGGAGGCTTTTTATTGCACTCTGAGAGCATGTAAGTTAACACTAGTCGTAGGTGCTAAAAGGAATTTTGACAGGTCGCTTTGTTTCTCCCCCCTCCCATCCCCACCCCAAAGAGTTTGAACTGTTCTCTTTAACCATAGAAGCTAAATGCTGGAGAAAGTTCCTTTCTAGGGAAGATGTGTGACAGTCCAGTTTCCTCTGTGCCTCTGCACATAGACTGTTCTTGTCTTTCTGTATGGCAGCTGGATATGAGAAACGGGGGACATACTATTTGGGGTGAATCATGCCACTTAAAAACAGACACACCCTCAAAAGAATGATCATATCTGAACACATGTGTCTCTTAAAAGATTTTATTTAAGAAACTTATTATTTCCAGCCAAATCAGAGAACGCCCCAGACAGGGCAAGGGCACCCTCCCTTTTGGCCTGTTGGCCTGGCCCTAGTGGCAGTGTGCAGCCTTGCTGGGGGGCTGTCATTGCAGCCTGGGGCCCCTCTGGAGGAGGCTAGGAGGTACTGAGCCTAAACAGCCTTACTTTTCCCAAGACGGCACAGCCAAGGCTCTCTGTTGCCTCACATCTCTTGTAAATTAGTAAGCGGAAGGCAAATAATTCATCCTTCTCATAAAAGAAAATATATTCTACGTCAGGAGAAGCCGAGGTGAGGTATAAACAGACATGGTAGTTGAACTTCCTTGACTATGAGAGGATATGCCCTCGTGGGAACCTGCTTTAATGGGCATGAGTCGGTGCCCGCCCAGAGGGACACATCTTCCCTGACCCTTCCTTGCTGAATTCTTGCCTTTGGGATTTGGGAAAAAAGTTTTGCCTTTTAACTACCACTTTCAGTATTTTAAGATTCTTGGTTTTCCTGTTGTTGATGCCAGGGAGCAAAAATAGTCCCCAAGGAATCACAAAGCATATTATTTTAGAAATGGGTCAGGGGTCTACCTGCCTCTTCATGGCTGCAATAATTGCTATGTGTCTAAGGCCACTTTGGAGCCAAGATCTGATTGAACCAATTTCCACAACATGCTTCTGCCCTGAAAACTTCGTCAGTGTAAACTTTTTGATGGAAACTCATATTGCATGAAAGTCACTGAAGTCTATTAGTTATTATGTCCACTTTAGCCAGTACCTTGAGTGGAAAAAACACTGCAGGCTGAATTTTCACCCCTGTGCAATGCTCTTGTTACATGAAGCGTGACACGATGAGAGAGTGTAAGTTAGAAAGCTACCTTTTCAACAGTTAAAAGGGACTATGCCAGAGGAAACGCGCAACTTAAAATGCCAAGAAACTTCTATCTGTAGGTTTAAAAGAAAACATGAGCTTTTGTGGTTTAAATTCGCAACATTTCCAAAACAGAGTAGGCTTCTACAGGAGCATTTGAAATAGTTGATGGTCAGGATGGCCGGAGCTTAATTTGAACTTGAACTCAAATGACTTGGAACTTCTTCCAGTGATTCTACAGGAAGCAGGCTATGAATGCTTGTGGCACCCACTTATTTCTCATTTGACCCTGATGAGCCCTGGTCATGCAGCCCTGCTGAGACCACTGCAAGGCTTCATCCTTCAGGGAGAAAGGGCTACTGTATTTTCTCAATCAACCCATCAATAAACAAACATTTACCAAGCGCCTCTGATGTCCCAGCGCCAGCAAAGAAAACAAAGGAATAAGCACGCAGCGTCACTGATCCTCAGTGTAGGAGGTAGGGGCACACGCAGAAAAAGCCAGTGCTCCCAAGCAGTGTAGGAGAAAGGCCAGAGAGAGGGGCAGGGGACCAGGCTGGGTTTTCTAGATGTGTAAGGACTCAAGCTGAATGTGAGAGGTGGATAAGATTCAGTGAGGCAAGGAGGAGGGACTAGTTAGTTCTAAAGAGGAAAAACAAAGGTATGGAGGTAGGGAAATACAAGGTGTCTTAAGGGGGCACGCGTAGGTAGTAGGGGAGCTTTCAAGGGGAAGAACAGCGGGAGATGAGGTCGGAAAGGGTCTGCTGGGGAAGGCCTAGGACAATATGATCTGGAAAAGAGAAGGTTCAGGTCAGGTCTTCTTAACCAGAAGAGCATAAGGAGGCTCTTCATACCTTCTCCATGCCTCTTGGGCATACAGGAGCTTCTCAGTAGAGGCATGAGACCTTTATGATGGAACAGTTTCTTTTTTTAACTTATTTTATTGAAGTCTAGTTGATTTACAATGTTGTGTTAATTTCTGCTGTACAGCAAAGTGATTCAGTTATACATATGTATGCATTCTTTTTCATATTCTTTCCTATTATGGTTTATCACAGGATATTGAATAGAGTTCCCTGTGCTATACAGTCAGACTGTTGTTTATCCATTCTATATGTAATACTTTGCATCTGCTAATCTCAGACTCCCAGTCCATCCCTCCCCCGCCCCATGATGGAGCAGTTTTGCACGCTAGAGTACAATACCCGAGAACAAAGAGTGGGCTTCACGTGCCAAGGATGAAGGTGAAACTCAGGTCAAGGGGAGAGCCAGCAATGGCTGGCTGGAGGCCCTTCCCACTCCCTTTGAGCCCATGTGCAGTTATCTTCTAGAGCCGTAGGAAAGTCTCTGGTCAGCTTAGGGCTGATGGTGTGGGATTTGGAGAACCTTGTCCTGGGTGAAGCTTGAGAAGGTCAGAGCTTACTCCTCTCAGGAGACAGCTCCTGCCTGCGTCTCTACTCCTCCTTCAGAGCCGACACTGTTGAGTCTTCGACTATACCCACCCACCTCTGTTGACTGTTCAGTTCAATCCAAGCTGGTTTCTATCTGTTCCAAATTTGTTCTTGCTCAGTTCGTCTGGGCTTTTCCATGTTGCCAGATCCAGCAGGCACTTTGAGACGCACCCACCTTTTCATCAATATTCCACATAGTTGACAGCTTCCTGTGTCTTGACTCCTTCCGTCATTTAGCTTTCATGCTGTCTTTCTGGCTGTTCCTCTATCTGACCTCCTAGTACAGTTCATCAGGACATTTCTCATTCCATACTGGATGGATGGTAATTTCATCTATCCCAGTAGCAGCAGATGGTCTCTGTGATACACAGTCACCTGCAGTGTAGGTGTGTGTGCCTACATACAATTCCTGCTTGGCTGCCTGAAAGACATCTTGAACTTAGTGTATCCAAACCTGCACTCTTGATCTCTGCTGTAGCTCCCACCCAAAAGCTGCGCCTCCACCGTTCTTTCCCATCTTAATAAATAACACCTCCAGTCCCTGGATTGCTCCACTGAAAATCTGGGTGTCACTCTGGATCCTTCCCCAGACATCCAGTCCATCATCAAATCCTGCTGATCCCATCTCAGGATAGCCCTCATCCAGCCACCACATCCACCTCTTCCATCTTAGCACATGTCCCCATCACCTATCATTTGCTCCGACGGAGGATTTCTGACCAAACCTGCCACCTCCATTCTTGCCCTCCCTCTAGTCTATCCCCCATACGATAGCCAGAGTGATACTTTAAAAACATAAATGCTATCGTCGCTTTCCTGCTTAAACCCTTTAATGACTTTCCATTGCAATCAAGATAAAACTTGAAAATCTCTTCCCACTCTTTGGATTTCTGTTCTTAAGCCCCATCAGCCTTTTTGCCATTTCTTCAAAGGAGCCAGCTCCAGCCCAGTTCAGAACTTTTCCATGTGCCGCTCTCTGTCTGAAGGGCTCTTCTCTCCCACCCTTGTCTAGCAAATGCCTACTCCCCATTCAGGTCTCAAGTG